ATTACCTCCCAGTGAGCATCACCTCCACCATTACCTCCCAGTGAGCAGCTCCCAGTTGAAAGATGTTTGATCTGCCCTCAGATCGTGCGCCCTGATTCATGTTAAATTATTTACATTTTTAATTATGTTCAGTCTGGAAGAGATGGGAAAATAAGGAATTTACTTTTATTATTAAAAAAACTAACTTACTGCATTAAAAACAATAATATATATAAATAAATATCTACGAGTTGCTTTCAGTGATTAAATATAAAAAATAAAAGTCGTGGCAGCGTTCAGCTTTTCTTTTAACACTTCCAGGAACTGAACAAGGAACATGATTATTATTATTTGTAAGTTTATTTTAAATATGTCTTCAGTTTAAATATAAAAGTTTTATTTAGCTGACTGACATCAGCAGAATCAGACATAAAAAGTTTAATCAATAAAAAACATGTAAATTTAGTCTGCTGTAAAACTCTAAGCAATAAATGTTTTCAATTTTAAAAAAGTCTCTAAAATTTTAAATATTCTCACAAAACTTATCTTAGTAACACACGTTCATGTAATTTGAACATGAACCCGCCGTTATTAAACGTTAAGATTTACAGATTTAAACAAATGACAAATCAACAGAAAATCTGAACATTTAAAAAAAGTCTGAACTTTAAAGATGAAAAATGTGACAGAAACTGAACAAGAGTCCAAATCAGCATTACCAAACCCCGTCAGGAAAATATTGATTAAATATATTTTCATACACACTTCGGCTGTTTCTGTAGGTAAACAACACACTTCGGCTGTTTATGTAGGTAAACAACACACTTCAGCTGTTTCTGTAGGTAAACAACACACTTCAGCTGTTTCTGTAGGTAAACAACACACCGGCTGTTTCTGTAGGTAAACAACACACCGGCTGTTTCTGTAGGTAAACAACACACTTCGGCTGTTTCTGTTACTTCAACACTTCGGCTGTTTCAGTCTGATCAAAGCTAAACGAGCTCTGGGACTGAAGTCTTTGGACTGGCTGTTGCTCACTGGGTCGAGTCTGATCGTTTCATAAAGTTTATAAAAGCCGAAGCTTTAATGGAGTTTGATTTATGTTCGGTGACAGAGAGAAGCTTTAATCCACCTCCACCCTGCTGGAGGAGCTCTGACCAAACCAAACCAAAGATTTATTTTTCTCAGCACAAACAGAACCTCCTCATGGACGGGTTGGACCATTCTGGACTCATATTTATTGGAGACTTTTGGGAATTTGAACGGGTTTCCTTCCAAAGAAAACTCTAAAACCTGGACAAACACACAGACAACCCAAAAACTAACCTCGGCCCGGAGCTTTATTCTGGATTTATTAGAGGAGGACGGAACCAAAGCAACCGGACTGAGCTCAGCCAGCACCAGTTCTACTTCAAAATAAACTGTAACGAAGGATTATGCATTGTAGAAAAAATGAAAGAAATTATATTTATCTTCTCGTTCATTTCATGCTGCAGGCACTTTGGGTTAAAGGTCATTTTAGGAGAAAATGGACGTAAATTCTTCTAAAAATTATCAGACGGTGGTAAAAATGAAAACAGACATGTTTTTAAAGACTATTTTATTTTTATTGTTCCTCCTTCTGATCATCTGTGGAACATACAGATCCAAATGTGTTTTAGGTTTGAAAAAAAAAAAACACTTCCTGTTGTTCATCGTCATAAATGTCGTCACGTTTGCTTCATAATCCATGTTTGACCCACAAACCTCAGATGTAAATAGTCCTGTTGTCATGACGACGATGTTTGTTTTAAAGCCAGCAAGGCTACAGGAGTTACACCAAAAAGGTTTCTGTGAGAATCAGAACAACTAGACCTGTCACACCAAAGATCTGTAGGTCCAAAGATCTACAGTCCAAAGATCTACAGTCCAAAGATCTATAATCCAAAGATCTACAGTCCAAAGATCTACAGTCCAAAGATCTGTAGGTCCAAAGATCTACAGTCCAAAGATCTGTAGGTCCAAAGATCTACAGTCCAAAGATCTACAGTCCAAAGGTCTGTAGTGCAAGGATCTATAGTCCAAAGATCTACAGTCCAAAGGTCTGTAGTGCAAGGATCTATAGTCCAAAGATCTGTAGGTCCAAAAATCTGTTCATCCAAAGATCTACAGTCCAAGGGTCTATAATCCAAAGATCTGTTGGTCCAAAGATCTACAGTCTAAGGATCTATAGTCCAAAGCTCTACAGTCCAAGGATCTAGAGTCCAAAAAATCTGTTGGTCCAAAGCTCTACTGTCCAAGGACCTATAGTCCAAAGCTCTTTAGGTCCAATGATCTACAGTTCCAAAGTCAACAGTCCAAAAATCTATAGTCCAAAAATTTGTAGGTCCAAAGATCTACAGCACAAGGATCTAAAGTCCAAAGATCCATAGGTCCAAAGCTCTACAGTCCAAGGATATATAGGCCAAAGATATGTAGGTCCAAAGACCTGTTCATCCAAAGATCTACAGTCCGTTGATTTATAATCCAAAGATCTGTTGGTCCAAAGATCTACACTCTAAGAATCTTTAGTCCAACAATTTGTAGGTCCAAAGATCTACAGTCCAAAGATCAATAGGCCAAAGATCCATAGGTCCAAATATCCGTAGGTCCAAAGATCTGTTGGTCTAAAGATCTACAGTCCAATCCAGGACTCAGAGGTGATCCGCTGCACATAGACAAAACGTCTGTTACACTTAAAGAGTATTGTTGTAATTTTTTTAAGTTTCTTTAAAAACAAAATATGTCCGAATTTTGTTCTGACCCAAAGAACAACGGTGTGGGGGGGGGGGGGGGGGTCTGTTACCCCCCCACCAAACTGGATGTTAGTTCTTGTTCAGAATCAGTATCAGACCTGATGATGTTGGATGGACCTGAACCTGCTCACACTGAGAGCTGGAGGCGGGGCTTATGGACCCCCCTGACCATCTGAAGGTGTGGTTCTGACCCAGAACCTTTGAGCCATGGACCATATTTAAACCTGTTGGACCTGAACGTGGTTTTAGACCTTCTTTCACCTCGGAGTCCGTTAGTACGAGTCTTACAGAACTCTCACAGAACTTTTGTCAGACGGTACCATTTGGACCGCAGCAGAAGTTTACAAACAGAACCGGTCATTTTTAAAGTATGATACCTGAGGTCCACTCTGCTGCATCGACTGAAATCTGAATTCTAACCCAAAGAACCTGACGGGCCTGGTCCAACAGAACCAGACCGGTCCGTTTTAATGTTTGCATGATTTCCTGTTTTTTAAACTCGGAGACACCAAAAAGAATTTGTTCTGTTAATAAATCAGAACTCCAGTTTTCTTATCAGAAATCATCTCTGAGTTTTTCTTCTGTTTTGTTAAATGTTTGTTCCTGAAATCATAAAAACAGAACCGGGCCTGGACCACTGACCCGCTCACGTTCCTCCGTAAATGTTTGTTTTTGTATTTCCGGTTCTGGTTTCAGCTCAGATCTGAGGACAGACGTGTCTTTGAAAAGGAGATCCACATTTCAAGTGACAGAAATAAAAAAACAATTTGTTTGAATAAAAGATGTTTTAGCCTCGCTCTCCGCTCGACATCAGCCGAGGAACATCGATTTGATCCCAAATAAATAAATAAACTTCTTGCTGACGTGTAATCTGTTGGATTTAAGCGCAGGTTCTATACAGACAATTCTGATTTGATCTTTTCACGGTTTTATTTCAATGAAAACAAAGTTTCATAAAAATCTAAATTTGTTCTTTATTCAGATTTTAATTTTTAACCTTTTAGTGTTTCTGTTTAGTTTGGAGCCGCTTTAATGGATGAAAACGACCTAAAACTGTTTTATTGATCACTTTACAACTTTAAAAACATTCAGCTCAGGTTCTGCTTCAGTTTGTTGGAGAACGTCTGCTTCATGGAGCAAGAGGGGACTTGGAACCCCCTCCACGTGTCCGATCGTGCGCGTTGTGACCTCTTCCATTTGGGTGTGGCTGCATCAACGTGTAAAAAATGTCACTATCGAAAATGAGGTTGACACGTCAACATCTATATTTGCATGTAAACTGATCATTTGAGGAAACTCCCCTCTAATTTTTATTTTGCTTACAAGTATAGTTTCCTCAAATGATCGGGGTGGCCAAAGATTACTCTATAGTGATCAAGGCCACCACTGGCCACCCCCTGGCTCCGCCAGTGTTCCTGGTGGTGGATGAAATGTCCCTCCTCCACTTACAGGATCCATCACGCTCCTGCCTCAGACACCGTGTGACTCCTCCCCACTTGAATATCTTGCATCAAAAACATTTAGGTTTACTTCATTCCATGTTCAGTTCTAGTCTAGAAAAACACTTATCTCCAAAACTACAAACATTCATTGTTCAAATCCCTCAGTGACAGGGGACATCGGTGTACAGCTTATTGTTTTTACTTGCTTTAGCTACTGTTGTTTTTAGCTGTTTTAGTTACTCTTGTTTTAGCTGCTTTATTTTGTTGTTGTAGCTGCTTTAGCTACTATTGCTTTAGCTGCTGTAGCTACTTTTGTTTTAGCTGCTTCAGCTACTCTTGTTTTAGCAGCTTTATCTACTCTTGTTTTAGCTGCTTTAACTACTGCTTTAGCTGCTTTAGTTACTGTTGAACTGTTTTAGTTTATGTTGTTTTATCTGCTTTATCTACTTTTGTTTTAGCTGCTTAAACTACTGTTTTTTTAGCAGCTTTAGTTTAGCTGGTTTAAGTACTGTTGTTTTAGCTGCTTTAGTTTCTGTTTTTAGCTGCTTTAGATACTGTTGTTGTAGCTTTAACTGCTGTTGTTTTAGCTACTCTAGATTCTGTTATTTTAGCTGCTTTGTCTGTTTTTAGCTGCTTTAGTTTCCATCGTTTTAGCTTCTTTAGCTACTGTTGTTTTACCTGCTTTAGCTAGTTGTTTTAGCTGGTTTAGCTACTGTTGATTTTAGCTGCTTTTGCTACTGTTTTAGCTGCTTTGGTTACTTTTGCTTTAGCTACTGTTAGTTTTAGCTGCTTTACCTCTTGTTGTTTTAGCTAATTTAGTTGATGCTTTAGCTGCTTTAGCTACTGTTGTAGCTACTTTAGTTTGTTCTTATAGCTGCTTTAGCTACTTTTGGTTTTAGCTGCTTTAGCTACTGTTGTTTTAACGGTTTTAGCTGCATTATTTACTGTTTTAGCTAATTTAGCTACTGTTGGTTTTAGCTGCTTTAGCTACTGTTGTTTTAGCTGCTTTTTTAAATTTCCAGGTTGACCTCCGACGGAGACTCTAATCAAAATAATTTCTCTTAAAACTTCATTTGAATCTCCAGAAACATTTCGTCCCGTCTGAAAACGAAGACTCGGGTTCTGGGTCGGACTGGACCCGTCCAGAGTTGAGTTTTTCTTCTGTAATCTGCCCGGCAACCGGCCGCCTCGGAGCTGGTTCTGATTTTCTGCCTGATTTACAGATTATTCCTGCGGGGATTCAGCAAATTCACCAAAACAAACACCGTCGCAGCTTTCAGGCATCAATCATAGCTGTTTTTTCACCGTGGGAACCGGTTCTGAACCCGCGGGCCCAACAGACGGTCCCGCAGCAACGAGTTGCACCAGATTTAAAAACAGATCAGATTCCATGAGACCAGATTACAGCAGCGATAGCTTTAATTAAATCGTTTAGTGCGAAAGAAGAAAAACAAACCGAGGACGAGGAAAACTGCTTTATTTAAACAAGTTCTGCTGAAAAAAGACATTTAGACCAAAAAAAAACATTTAGAACGACTGATTTATGGGTTCTGTTGGACGTTTAGAGAACAATTAGATCCAACGAGAGAACTGACAGAAAAGTTTAATTCAAGGAGAAAACGGGTCAGGACAGAGACGGAACATGTTTGGTTCTGGTCCGACTTGTGTTCAGACCACAGGATGGGTCTGTCCGGACAGGAAGTGGGTTCTGTTGTTAGAGCGTCGGTCCTGGAGGGAGTCTGAGCGCACGCAGAGATGGAAATAAAACAAAATAAAAACAATGACTGTAAAAACAGACTGAACGTCTGATTTGTAGTTCTGGACTCTGCGGTGCCATCTGCAGAGAGGTTCTGGTTCTGGATGTCATTCTGGCCCAATGAGTTCTTCACAGGAACAGCTCTTACTGGTTTTAATGGATTGAAAGGTTTGTTTTTGGTTCAACTTCCTGCTGGAGGTGAGGATATTAACCAGGCCAGAACCAATCGGACGAGGCGTGTCGGTGGTCCAATCGGACGAGGAGTTTCAGTGGTCCAATCGGACGAGGTCTAATCGGACGAGGCGTTTCAGAGGTCCC